GTACTGACGCATCATAACGAGCACGTGTAATGCAGCCTATGCGCCCTATATGAGACGTACAGGTAATTTTGTTAGCAAGTGTCGGACGTATATGCGGGCTGGATCTATTATCTCTTGAGCCTACACGCACTCATGGCCGTTGTATAGCGGAGTTGCAGCGAGTGCAAAATGAACGTAAACAGACTTTATGCCTCAGTGCTTAGATCCCTAATAGGATAGGCGTGGTTAATGTCATTGCTGCATGTGTATACTGCAACAACTGTTAATGCTGTGTATGTTGCTGTGTAGTAGTCTCGTGCCCAGACCCCGGCCTCAAGAGAGGAAAAGGTCTGAAGACTATTGAGCGTTTTCTTAGTTGTGCTGACTCGACAGTCTTACTTTGAGATACTGAATCAGATTGCAGTATTTACCACAACCGTGAAATATCACATGATGTTATGCAATAGATCGTAATGGCAGCTCTGTGGATTCCGCGTGTCCTCGAAGGAAAACGGGCTTTTCTGCGTCATGCACTGGACAATGATGAGTCAGCACAACCAAGAAAACGCTCAATAGCCACCAGACCCTTTTCCTCTCTTGAGGCCGGGGTCTGGGCACGAGACTAGCTGTGTAGTGTCGTGTTTGGTGGTTAATTGCAGAGTAATTTCAGAGTGTCAAGGGTTCGAATCCTACCTAGGGCTGCTGTTTTTTTGCTTGGAGGTCTTGGTGTTCTGAGTATTGGTTGACACACACAGTTCAGGCGCAGCTGTCAGGCTACCAATTATTTTAATGAGCAGGGATAAGTGTAGGAGAAAATTTGTTATGTGTATTGTTTTGTTGTTCAGCAAAGGCCAACGAAGTTGGACCTACTCGCCAAAGAGCTGCACAACACAGGACATCCACACCAGTCCAAAAAACAAAGAGAGTAACACGAACCACGGCCAAGTCAACAGGTATCCAACAATACACTCCTTTGGTTTATTCACTGAGGTATAGGAATATTTACAAGTCTGTTATATAGCAATCATAGATGTTTGGCCCCTATGTTTTCTTAGGTTTCACTTTTTCGCCACATAATAACAAGTGTTTTGTTTTCTTAGGAAAGACCACTGTCGTTAAGAAAAAATAAGATGGGGGCTATTACCAGGTAATTATGTTATGGCACTTCTCATGTAATTTACATCTGATGATATTGGCTCTGTTCACCGTGCCCCTGATCTATGTGCATAAACCCTACGTGACCTTACACCACATTTTGCCACACTCACTATATTATACCAACTCTACATGTATCCCTGTAATATATTTTTATACCATGTTTTTTTCCCTTTAGGAGCTGCAACAGAGTTGTCATGTTTCATCCAATATGTTGTATTTTGTAAGAATTCCATGCAAACAATGCTACTGCGGCACACGCGGTGGGCGATTATTCGGGTCGCGACCTTCGCCTTCGTCCCTTCGTCCCGTGCAACGCGCAGTGGCCCCGGCAGAGGGTCCAGGAGTACGAGGATGGATCTTGTCTTCCTCGGTAGTAATGAACTCAAACCAACGTTAGCTGTGCGTTTGCACACCGGTCAGTAAATACCTTACTTCGTCCGATAATGTATGCTATTCAGACGGCCTCTTTGATGTCTCGCCGATCATCGGTCGAGTGTCCCGGAGCCGTGTCCTTGTGGTATGTTACTACTCTACCACACGTCCATGTGCCTGCATGTTGGAACGTTGGCCTGCTCTTCTAGAATAGCTGGTTTAGGCGTCCGATGTTCGGTGGTGTCCGAACATTCCTGGCTTACTCTACTAATTTTCAAAATTCTTCCGGTTGTTGTTCAGTTTAGACACGCATATCTCAAAAACCACTCAAGATAAGGAGACGAATCTTTGCACAAAGATTTGGAATCCGTGCCTCGCCGTGCAAGTTTTGTAAACAATGCTGTTTACATGTAAACAACAAAACACAACAAAAATAGCCCCAGGCCATACATTTGATAAGACCAATAATGTGTGGTAACTAGGTAGAGCAAATACCAGAACGATAAAACTTTGTATACACATGCAACCCATCATTAGTATCAAAATGTAAACATTACAAGTTTGTAAACAACAACAAACAGCATCAGGCTATAAAAACTTGTATAATGTGTTTGTGCCTATACCTTGCTTATGGTGGGTCCTCTAACAATGAAATTTGGTACACTGATGTACAATGATGAGAGTACATCGAAACAGAAATCAACAAACAGCCTCGGGCAATAAATTAAATGATGTTTGTTCCTATAACTTGCTTATTGTGGGTCTTCTAACAACTAAACTTGGTACACTGATGAATGATGATGAGAGTACATCGAACCTACAAGTTTGTAAACAACAACAAAGAGCCTTAGGCAATAAAAACTTGTAATTGGTGTTTGTGCATATAACTCGCTTATGATGGGTCCTATAACAATGAGACTTTGTATACTGATGTACCACCATTCATTGAACAACAACAAACAGCCTCAGGCAATCAAAACTTGCAAATGGTATTTGTGCCTATGGTTGGTCCTTTAACAATGAAACTTGGTACACTAATTCACCATGATGAGAGTTAATCAAAGCACAAATTACAAGGTTGTAAACAACAACAAACAGTCTCAGGCAATAAAACTTGTAAATGGTGTTTGTGCCTATAAATTACTTGTGGTTGGTCTTCTAACAATGAAACTTGGTACACTGATTCACCATGATAAAGAGTTCATCGATACACAAACTACAAGGTTGTAAACAACAAAACACAGCTTCAGGTAAAAATGACTTTTAAATGGTGGCAGAGCCTATAACTTACGGTGGGTCCTCTCACAATGAAACTTGGTGCACTGATGTAATGTGAATGACGAAAAAACGTCTGAGGCGATAGCTTAAAAGGCCACCTTTTTTATTGGCTTATGCCCAAAAATATTGCACACCATGCATGTGAATGCAATAAAAAATGAAAGGAGCAAGCGATGTCAGTTCAAAGTATGTAGCCATCATCCACTGCACTATAATTATACTGCATCGTGTTCACTAGGTCATCCCTGTCTTGTCTCTTTACTTTTTATGGCATCCCTATAGTCAACACTTTTAATTTGAAGAATTTTTTTATTTACTTAATAGGCCAGCATGCACACAATAAAAAAAGGTACGTAGCTCAATGATATGAACTATAGGTGCACTAAGACATGTGTAATTATGAAGATTTTGTGCCAATCAAGGCTCCATATGACCGTGTACGCTGGAACCAGGCATTTGTCGTTTTAAATTGTACGTTTCCGTGGGCGAGATACTGGCAAAGTTTGTGTTTTTATGGAGGTCTGGTATGACTGTGGCTCTTTCTCATGTTTAAAGGAAAAGCAGTAATGTGCAAGCCCTCGGCAAATGCGCACACGTAAGAATACGATGTGCAGCACCGCTAATTGCTGGCTGGGGTACTTTTACAAACATATTTGTGGTCTCTTGTCAGCTCGTTAGAATGTCTGATGCCTCCTAACATAGAGCAAGTGGATCTGGTTGAGGTAAGCCTGTGTGAATTTGCACACAACTGCAATCACTACCACTTATTTTACAGCCTGAAGGGAAGTAAGGTTTCGTTCAACCATAACAATGTTGCTAGGCAGACTACCATACAAAACACATGATTTATACTAACTGGACAAGTTGCTTGTTCACAGCAAGGTCGTCACTGCGGAGCTGGTTCATCTCCAAAAGTTCAGTCGAGAGAAACTGGTTCTGGTTCTTGTAAGCTTCTACAGCTTCCTGAAAAAAAAAGGCAACAACAAAAGTAAAACACCTCAGTCAGTGTGCATACATATAGGTGACATTTGATAGAGAAATTGATTGATACTTTCATTGAAAATGTCAGTTTCTCGCTTAAGCCTAGCCAAGGGAATCGGTACAATCTAGAAAAGGATTTCACACACATCATTTGAGAAATTTCATGCCTAAGTGCTTCCCCACATGGTCGCCAAATTAGCCATTGGCTACGGTCCAGCGCATTTTGGCTACTACCGAAAGGCTATTGTAACCATTTTTGCTACAGCTATTCTTGGACCACTCGTATGTTATTAGCTGCTCGCTAGCCACACACCTTACAGTACACAGAGTCACCGACGAAGGCGATCGAGCCGAGGGGCATTTTTTAGAATAACGTGCCTGACCCACATTTTTCGCGTGCGCAATGGCAAAACGGGTATATACACGGGTGGAGATGTCTACAACAGGAGAGAATCCATACAGCCTTCCCAAGAGACCCAGGATTGAAAAAAGAGTCATCTGTAGGTCGTAGCCTGTCTGTAACTGCTATCTTTTCACCCTCCCTGTGTTGTAACAAATCATGCATGGTTGGCTATTCATATGAAATGTGGCTAAAGAAAATGTAGTCCATAGCCAAGTTGGCTATAGTTATTTTAGGCTAGGGGAACCCCTGAGTGTATGCTAAACAGGCTATGAGCCACGGCTCATTATTTTAAACTATATTTCACAAAATATCTTTTGGAATGATTTTTTAGTAAAATATGGGAAGGTACGTAATTCTTTATCGCATGAATGAATGACGCAGACAATAGACAGATGCACAGAATCATGGTATGCTACTTTACATTATTATTGGTACAGACCTTCATTCTCTGTAGCTCTAACTCCAGTGACTGTGTTGTAGATGGCTTCATAGCATCATTGGGGCTGCATGCACAGAACAATCACCTAACAATACTTTTTTAATATACGTAGGTTAAGAAGGAATTGTTAGAAATAATTTTTTATGCTAAAGTGCAACAACATGGGTGCACTATGCATGGCTCATTCAGCTCTAATTGAAGCTACAGTTCCATAACATCATGTGCATAGCAAAACTAGGTGCAGTAAATAGCTGCAAGGACATCTACATTTACGGTAAAAGTAAACAAAAAATCCTGCGAATTCAGTAAAACTGTGGCTATATACCAAGTAGTACTGCACTGACTGATACTGACATTCTAACACATACAGTACAGGTCAAAAAAGTAAAACTATACGGTAACGGTACTATCTATGCGTTACCGCTACGTACCCTTCATGTACCCTCAGTTTTCCTTACAAGTACTGTGAAAGTACCTTTGAAGGTATTGTGAAAGTTCCGGTGAAGTACCCAACCGCGGTACCGCACACGGGGTATGAGGTACTGGTGAAGTACTCTCTTCACAAGTAGCACGCACAAACAGGGAAATGCCAGATTTTAGTCTTGCCCGGTAGTAGTTCGCTAGCAGTACTACACTTACTACCTTACTGGCCAAGAAAAACACAGGCAAACCACGATGCTCCCGCTGTTCGCGCTCTCGGCGGTCGGTCTCGAGCAGTGCTGGTAGGGGTGTGGCATGCGCTACCGTCGGCATGGCAGCTGGCTGCGGCCAAGCTCTGCTAGCAAGCCGTCACTCGCGGCAAAGCTGGCACTTAAGTTTTAGCCTACAAACGAACATGATATGCAACTTACTCAGTCAGCATCTGGCCTTTATTCTCCAATTGAAAAAGCTGCAAGAAAACACAACATAGTTGGTTATGGGAAAACCATAGCATACAATCAGACAGTAGGCTAGATAATAACCATGCTCTGCATGTAGCGTGTTCTTTTACAGTATGAGTCAAACAATTCAATACTGTTTGCATTCACCAAAATCGACCATAACACACGTAACCGGAGTTAAATGTTCCTGAATGGCGTTCGCATACTGCTCTGTTCCGTTTCGTTTCGTTCGGTACTGTGCTGAGTCAAATTGCCGCTATTATCATCGAAGAAAGCCAGGCTCACTGGAGCACCTTCCGCTTCTCAGACGCGCTTTCGTGCTCTCTTCATGACAAGGAGAAGCCTTGGGACCCGTTTATCAAAAGTGGGCATAGCCCCCAGATTGCTAATTGGTTGCACATTCGACTGAGTGAAATGAAACGGAACGACACACTAGGCAAAATCAAATGGTGCCTTTGCGGAAAATGGCAAACGAAACCAACGGTAAATACCATTCTCTGGAATGGAACTGCACGATAATCGAAATGTTTATTGACTCATTCTGTATGTATTATATGTATGCATGTATGTATTTATTATGTATGTATGTATGTATGTATGTATTACCTTGTTGGTAAGGTCGACAACAACATGATCTTTGGCTGCCACAGCCTCTGTGAACAGGTCTATCTGCTCCGCCAGTACCTGGACCTCATGCTTCTTGGATCTACCAACATTGGGAAATGATTGTGGACTCGTGTGAGTGAAAGTGAAACTTGGGAGTTGTTTGAGTGCCACGCACATAAATACTCAGGTATATGTGTGGTTCTATACATCCCATTACTCAACATTCGAATTAGAAACTAATATGGATAGCTTTGGTTAAAAACAACATACTCTATCTCAATGGTCAGGTGTTCCTTCTCCCTTATGGCTTCTTCCAGCAATCCTTGGTACTGAAAAATAAAAGAATGATCATTAACTGAAGTCACGAGTTTCTGCTTAATGATTATTATCATAAGCATACTTATGGACATATCGACACATTTGTGTTCTGTGTGGCTGGTGCTAAAGCCGTGAATGTGAATGTAAAATGGTGAAACCTCACTACCAATTTTGTTAAATAACTCTTGGCACACATGTGTCAAACAACAAAGTGAGGTAGCAAGCAAAGGCAACAAATCAACTACACCCAGGACAGCTCTTGAGCTGCCCTGGGTGGGATTCGAACCCACGACAATCTGCTGTCAAGGTGAGTGCTCTACCAACTGAGCAACCACAGCAACTCAGCTGGTAGCATGGAGGGGGTAGGAAATGATCACGTGCGACAATGCTTTGCTGAGTCAGCAGTGCAAATCCCAAAAGTTTTTCCATAGAGAAGGTGAAGTCCACTGCTCATGAACAATACTACCTGGCACTAGGGAGTACCTGATGATACTGTCTCTAGTACACCTTACCAAAAAAGTATGTCGCCTGAATAATGTAATTTGCTACGTAAGCACCATACGCGCCTTTGACCTTGTCCTACCCCCCCTGGGTATGGTGTATGCACTGTGAATGTTACAGTACTTTGTCTCTCTCTGTGTGTCTGTCAGTCTGTCCGTCTCAGCTATTCTTGCACTAAAGGCTACAGAGGCAGCTAACGGCTTCAGAACTACACGAGCCTAAAAAACTAATGGTGATTTTTGTGGCATTTCAGAGATATATGTTGTTAAAATAAGCGAAAAAGCTAATATGCCACAGTTGCATCGGCTTACCTTGACCTGATCCACTTGCTCCGTGTACCTTGGATGCAGAAGAAGTCACAACGAAGGGACTCATACATACTATCCATGAGTGTAGGAGGCCAGTGTAAGACTCCGTGAGTTAGCTATTGCGATACAGCGAGTAAACACGAGTAGTCCAGAAAATAAGTGGTACCATGTGCATACACAGTGCACCAAGGGTTGCCACTTTAATTTTTGTGGTTTAGTGCTTTTCATTAACCCTCGGTGCGCATGCGCAGCGAGGGTTACAGTAGTTGGTTTGTCTGTCTGTCTGTGTGTGTGTGTGTCGACACTTATTCTGGCACTAGAGGTTGCCTATTAGCGATACCAGTGGCTTCAGAACTACGCGAGCCTGAAAAATAAACAGGGATTTTCCTGAAACGACTGCGTTCCAGAGATATGCCGTGAAAACAAGCGAAAAAGCCAATATGCATAATCACACTGGGCTTATTGCGACCTGATCCACTCGCTCTGTGTACCTTGGGGGGTCAGGAAGTCACAACGAATGGCATGTATCGACTCCGGCATGCTATCTACTACCGTAGCTAGCCCGTGTCAGACTCTCGGCGAGCTACTGGCGGGAGACCACGGTAAACGCATACTACTATTAGCCCAGCCCATCAATTAGCAGTATCACGCATGAGCAGTTCGCCGAGGGTTTGCACTTCAGTGCTTTTTATTTTATTGGAAATGCTGTGAGGCACATTTTAAGCAAATGGATGCACTCAAGTGTGCTGCACCTGCCAATTGTATATGCAATAAGAAAATGACTGAATGAGTGAAAAGAAGCTGCCCTGAAAGCTGCTTAAGATATAGGTTTACAAAGCTGCACCTGACAATAAGAGAGAGTACCCATGACTCAAGCGGGCGAGATGAATAATCACATAAGTAGGTAAGTTTGCTGCATCAGGTGCATCAGGTTGATATCTTTTATTGTTAACACAGATATACTGAATAGCTTCACAGTTAGTTTTACACTGAGTATGCAACTACAACACTACAGCACTAATGCTGTACTTTTGTCTCTTTGTGATGGAGAGAGGTAACAGGAATGACGGTATGTGGACTACCTAGTCAGCATGTTGGGAAAAGTTAATCCAATCTGATTGTAGGATTAAAACTATCATGTGATATAAAACTAGCTGTGTCTCAGGGTACAAGTGAAACTTATAACAAGACCACATAGGCACTACCTCTGCTATTGTCTGGTCTCTTTGCAGCAGTATGTCAACCTTCTTGTCGTCGGCCATGTTAACCCCTGATGCACCTGATGTCATCAACTCCTCCCTTAGTAGTGAAAACACACATAAACACAAACATAAACAATGAGTAGTAAAAACACACATAAACAATGAGGCTAATGTGTGAAAGTTCAAGTAAACAAATATTGACATCATACCAAGATACATGATTTGTAGCCTAGTTTAGAATCACACTTCACAAGGGTTTATATTGTTAATCGTTAGGTTGATAGATCAATCTTCTGGGTTGATATTCCCTAGGGGATATCTGGACGGCCATACACAAGGTCAAGGTACGCATGTTGCAAAATGTTTGGCGCTAGTATTGAACAAAGCAACAGCCACGCAGAGCAACGACAGTCCTGCCTTAATACTAAAATGTTGCAAAACGCTTTTGTCTTAGCGAGCGGAGCTGCCTCTTTCTCCCACCGTGGCATGAAATATGCCCTCCTGTGACCTTTCATGCCACGCCTCTCTTGAATGTTAAGGTGATGTGCGTTGCCTGTTGTGGCTTCCATTTGTAATGCCTGTTACTGGGACTTGGTCCAGACACTCTCATTGGATGACAGACTCAACATTTTGTGGGAAACTGCATGGGTCTTTACCACCATATGCTCATTGAGATATGAAGAAGTAACTCTACCTGACAAGTTGTGATATTGTGAAAAAAATTGCTTCTACAATAATACAAATATTCTTTGACAGTTCTCTAGTCTTAAAGTTGATGGTTGTGGGTTCTTAATCACTCTTCTATCCAACGTGGTTCTAGCTGCATTGTCTCATCTGCTGTTGCTAGAGCCTTAGCTGGAACAAGGGGCTACCTTCACCCCTGAATTTTCTGTTACTCACAAAAGTAATGTTTTCGGCTATGGAGTGGTAATGCCTTACGCTGCATTCCACTCCCAAGTTTAAAAACTCAGGTAGTGCTGGAGATATACAGCCCTACGAAAAAGATGAAGAGAATGTTCTACAGGCTGTGGGTCATAATAATACGACAAGCCATAATATTTTCCCCAATTCGCTTATCCAGCAGGTCCACACACAAGGCTGTCACTGATAAATGTAAAAGTAGGTATATACCATACGGAAGAATAAGAAGAGACCGTGTTTGGGTCTAATACACATACAAGACCAAGTGATCCCAGATTAGTCACCTACGTAGTGACAGTTAACACTTTCTAGGGGGCTCTCAATGAGGCATCCGAGCAGCCAGCTATGGAGGAAGAGGATCTGCAGCTGTTCCATGAGGAGAGAGGAAGCTAAAATAAGCTCTAATAGTGGCAGCGAATAGGGGAATCAGCTTCATGAAGTGAGGACAGTATATGCAAAAAAAGGAGCATACAATAATTGTTCAAGAGTTTGCTGAGTGACAAAAGCAGCACAAGGTGTCCCATATTACGAAACTTTCCATGAAAACTGAACAGCTCACGCTATATACATAAAAAGAAAGAAAGAAAAAGAGAAAGAAAACAGGACTTCAAAAGGGCTACAATTAACATACATATATACAGAAGGGCTTAGCAAAACACGCGAGCTGATGCACGAAGGTGGTGAAATGACTACAACAGACGGTACAGGCGGTATAAAAATTATGCGATAAAAAAAATAAAAAAATAAAAAAAAAGAGGTATAAAAGGTTACAAAAATAATCCATAGGAACACAGCAGCACGAAAATAACATATTATATGAGGTGTAGGGCAGTACCATTACAGAGGGTGAGCTATAGGCATAGATGGGTGCCCCGGCCTTGAGAACCAGGGATGGTGGGTTAAAGAGTCTTTTATCACCGGTGAACTCTCCCCACTCACCCAAGCCTTTCTCACAGTGGTACTGCCCATGGAGTAGTAAAATCAACGAAAACACCTCAATATCGACGACAGCACAGAAACGGAATGACAGAGAGAGACCAAGAGCAAGCAGTTTATAACGCAGGCCAACAGGAAGCAAAGCCCAGTGAGATCATTCCACTAAAGGAATGTAGGGCCAGTAAGAATTTACAAACGACATCGCCGTGTGGTTACGTGTCTGTACAAGATGGTCGTCCAATATACAGGCCACATATGCCTTCATAAACATGTCTCTTCAGACCTACATCGTATCTATCATTAGATGTATATATTTCACATAAAAACTTTTTGAAACTACCAACCAACTTATTATAACGGAAACCTTCTTTTTTCAATCTGGTATATAGTAATCATCATATTCCGTTTAATATAAGGGCTGCATATTCGCCCGATTCTCACTAATTGTGATATACAAACGCCATACGAAGGACCCGCGGGAGTATTGCTGCTCATAAAAGGAAAATTAACAATATGGAAGTTGAAACTATCTCTCTTATCATAGATGGTGGTGGTGAAATGTCCATCTTTTATTAAAATGCCGACATCCAAGTATGAAACAGTACCATTATTTTCCGTTGTTTTTTCAGAACAAGCTCAGGTGGATATATCTCATTTATCGTATTCTCAAAAGAGGGGTTATTTAAAGTGAGTAGATCGTCGATGTACCGAAAGGTGTTAGAAAATGCTCTCGCTTTGGACATATTACTATTCTCATATATACGTACTCAAAGTGAAATAGATATAAATTTGCCAATAAAGGTGCACAATCCGTGCCCATAGGTATACCTATGCACTGACGAAACACCCTATTACCTACTGACACATATATATTGTCAATAAGATAGTAGACCATATCTAGTAGCTGAGCTTTACTGATGTTAATTTCGTAATTATTGTCGGTACTCCAGAAACATTTACCTCTCTTATTTATCGATAAATACATTGCTCCTCTCTCTTAAAGGCATCTCCTATCATACTGCTCTTTAACGAGTGATGTGGTATGCTTGTATACAATGTGGAAAAGTCAAAGGTGTCCATGGTTCCAGCCGCCGAAGTATCATTGAGTGTATGCATTGATTGTAAGACGAACTGCGCATTATTAATAACCCAAAAACAGTTAACTCCCGTATTTCTGTATATACCAGCACATGTTTTCCACCATGAAACCTTGCCTGTCATCATATGGCCTGACACCAGAGTCACTAATGGCTTAAACAGCTGATGGGAAACTCCATTCTCCAATCCTTCAGCCACTACTTCACCACTCTGCAGGCTCCAGCCATCACTTAATGACTCTTCACTGTATCAAAGAGAACCCGAGAGCGAAAACGCTCTACTTGACAGATTCGCTGTTTCGGATCAGTTCCGTTCAAAATTTATATCTGCACGTTGCTGATGGAATTTCCCCACCAGTATGTATAGTGCACAAGGGCCTAAATGTCCAAAATTTGATGCGGATTTAACTTCCGCTCCGTATACGTGAAAAATACGGGACACATACCGTTGTACTGCGTTTGTAACGAACTTTCCGATGACATTTTCTCGACGTAAACGCACAAAGTTAGCCTCTACCCGAGCATTTGTAGCATTTCACCCGGGCGGTGATGGGAACGTGACATAGAGAAAAAGTTTCCCGGTCAAGGAAACAAAACTGCGCATGCGCGAAAGTCCGAATTTTTCCAGAACGGCAAAGACCCGTCTCTCTTCGAAGCTGTGAAGTTTGACGATGGTTCTGAAGTCGAAGGTGAGGAGGAAAGCTGAGGCAGCAGGTCTGGCATCAGTTGAGAGTAGGAAGAAACAGCGAGTCAGTTTAGAATTCTCAGTATCAGCCCCTATGGAGAGTACCCGGTGGCAGAGGTTTCACGCTGCGAGCCTGAAGCACCAGCGACCACCACAGCAAGACCTAGAGTGAGCTCTACTGACTCCAGCATGATAGATAACCACGCCAGCGTCGCTGGTCCGAGATCTCATGTCGCTAGAGGTAGCAACCCAGTCATTAACACGAGTGAGGAGACTGATACTGCTGCGAGTGACCTGCTGGAGGAAAAACAAGCATATCTAATTCACCAAAGAGTCCACATGAAGTTGTGGGAAAGTTGGCCAATGATTGGCTGGTAGAATTAGACAAAGACGACACGAGAAGTCTTGCCTGCTATCAGCTTGTCCACATGTTCTCCTTCACAGAGACTAATGCTGCAGAGTACGTTGCAGCCATGGTGATTAAGAGCGACAGAACTGTGACTGAAGTGCTGTTATCGACAATGATGGCGTTCTCCCCGAATCCCAGCAGGGTCGATACCAAAAAGGAGTGTAAATGATTTTCTCCTTTTCCCAAGAAAGATCAGCAGGCTTCATCATTTCAGGTTTGATGTGCTAACAGATCAAAAGGGAATAATCATTGATGGTCACGAGAGACCTGATGTTGTTGAAGCACGCAAGCTATTCCTAAGAAAATTGACCAAGATTGGCTTCTTGCACTTCACTACTGCACCAACTGAAGAGGCAGTAAAAGCTCTTCCAAGTGTAAATTGCCCCACAAGTGAGCGACGTGCAAAAACAGTTGTGTCTTTTTCCACAATGAATCCACTTTTCTACAAAACGAGGATCAGCCAACCCAGTGGGGAATGAAAGGCGAAAACAATGATGAAACTCAAGAGTAGAGGAGCAGGCATTATGGTGTCGGATTTTGTGGATGAGCACAATGGTTTTCTTTCTCTCTCCGATGCACCAAAGCATTGTATCCACGGATAAGTATGCGCGTGAATTTTTAGAGCAAGGAAGGATACTGGACCAGGGACAGATTCATCAGGCAAATTGAGTGGGCAATCAAGATTTCTGAGGTTAAGTATCCTAAGGAAGAGGGGTGGAGGCATGTTTGGGTCTTTGACCATAGCAGTGCCATGCTGCCATTGCAGACGATGCGTTGGATGTAAGTAAGATGAATGTCAGGCCTGGGGGTAAGCAACAAATAAGAGGGTTTGGAAATTGTATTATACAGAGAGAGATGGAAGGAAAGTGGCTGAAGGATTGAAGATGGTTCTTGAAGAGCGTGGTGTGACGACAGTGGGGAAGACAGCATAATGGATGCGCAAAACTCTCGCTCAACACTCCGACTTTCGGGATGAGAAAAGCATGGTAGAGCGAATGCTGATCGAGAAAGGGCATATCCCTTGTTTCCTTCCAAAATTTCATCCGGAAATTAATCCGATAGAGGGTATGGGCTCAGACTCTTGTGAAATATAAAACCGTTGTAAAGTCACACCGACGTATTGGATAGAGAGTAAAGAATAGAGATTTCTGTGCATTTTAGGTCCGTTTTGTATGCTGTATTTCCACTTACCAGAAAACTCTTTTGTGAGATTAACATACATTTCAGCTGTATATGTGAGGCTTATGTATGCACGTCTTTAACACCCACTTTGTTGGAGTAGCCATGGCAATGTAGTACGGATCAGAAAGTATTATATCTTTCGCAGTTATACACTGAGCTTAAATAGGATGATGGGTGAGAGCTATTGGTTATACAACAGAACCATGACATGACCAATTGACATGGATTTTGATAACCATGGGTGTGAATGTTTATGCTCTGCTACACTCGCCCCTCCTTTTTTAGAAGTCCAGGTATCCATATCGATCTGGCGGCACTCTGTGGCGTAAGGGGTACCTTCGTAGTGCAGGTGGTAGAACCAGGTGATCTACTGTAGGGGGCTGCCAGGTTGGAGACGGGGTCTGTTCTGTTACTGGAGATTCCACATCTGGCTGTAGGCGGTGATGGAGCCGATTTATGTGAACATATCTATTTTTCTGGCCCATCGTGACTTCCACTGTCAGTGGACTCATCACTTGTTTCACCTTCCATCCTCCTTCCCAGTGTGGATCTAGCTTCCTGGCTGTTGGTCGAGACAACCAGACAGTGTCTCCCTCACGAAAAATCCGGGTAATGGTGTTTTCATCATAGTTGGATTTTTGGTGTTCTGCCGCAATTGTTAGGTGGCACTCAACTAGGTCTCGTAACTCTGAGAGTTTGCACTGCAAGCTGTCTGCGTAGGTCACTGTGTTGAACGCAGTGGAGGGAGGGAAGTTCGGTGCAGATGGAGAGCGTCCAAACATCAAATTGAATGGGGAACAGCCAGTTGAACTGTGAGTTGCCGTTCGGTATGCGAACAAGACTAGCGGTAGAAAACGTTCCCAATCACTTTGGTGTTCAACGTAGCTTTGTAGCAGCTGTAGAAGCGATCTGTTGAACCGTTCTACCATCCCATCTCCTTGGGGGTGGTAAGCAGTTGTTCGAGATTTTAGGATGCCCAGCTCTTTCAGTGTGCTCCGTAGAATTGTACTCTCAAAGTTTCGTCCTTGATCAGAGTGGAGGATATCTGGGCATCCATATGTAGTAAAAAGCTTAACAAGCTCCCCTGTGATGCGAGCTGCGGTCTGGTCTGGCAGTGGTATGGCTTCGACCCACTTTGTGAAGTAGTCTTGCACAACTAAGAGGTAACGATTATTGTTGGTTGAGACAGGTACCTCCAGAATGTCTGCTGCTATCATCTGCCAGGGTCTTCCGATTGGGGTGTTTGTTAGTGGAGCTTTCGGGGGAGATGCAAGTTTTGAGGCTTGGCATGTCTGACAGTTTCGAAAAAATTTCCGTACATCCGTTGCGATACCGACCCAGTACGCTTCTCTTCGGAGTCGTTCCAGGGTCTTTTCAATTCCCTGGTGCCCTGGGCCTATATCAGTGCCCGGGGGAACTGATATAGGCCCATTCCGGGACCTGGGCAAAATGCTGTTTTCTCTTGGTCAGACTTATTCACTGGTAACTGCCAGTAGCCACTTTGAAGGTCAAGTGTGGAAAATATAGTTGAACCCGCAAGACGATCTTGGACTTCATCTGGTAGAGGCAAGGGGTAAGCATCTTTCACGATAGTCAATACACATCCGAATTTCGCCTGATTTCTTTGGCACAAATACAGCAGGTGCCATCCAGGGGCTGCTGCTCTCTTCTATGATACCTTGTTCCAGCATTGTGTTGATTTGTTCTTCAATTTCCTGCCGATAATGTGCTGGGATGCGACGCGGGCACCCTAACAGGGGTCCCTGTCGTTGTAATGTAGTGGCAGGCGACTTCCGTTCCTCCTGGTACTGTCCTGAACAAGGACCGGTGGGTATGTATGACATCCATAAGGTCGTTGCATGCACACACGGGGTAATCAAATGACGAGCAGGCATGAAAGTCTGGAACTGCACAGTCTCCAATTACATCAGCACTGGGAGGTTCCACAGCTGCAATTGTACATATCTTAATTCGCTCATTTCTTTCTTCTGTGTAGATTGAAAAAATGCATTCTGGTACAGTTGTACAATGGGGAACGACTTGTACAGAGTCACTTGTATGGACTGTAACAGGTAGGCTGGAAAAGTCTAAAACAAGTCCGTTATTGTGCAAAAAGTCAACCCCCAGAATGACTGGACTCACAAGGTTTTCAACCACCACGAACTTGCGGATGAGCTCCAGGTCTCCGATCTTCACCGGTGCTCGGACACGATCCAGTATTCTTAAAGGATCTCCCGACGCCGTAACTAACTGTATTGGTTCAGCGCTGGCGACTGACGGCATCTTGGGTGCTTGCAAAAGCACTTCTTGCCGAACTAACGACACAGACGATCCGGAGTCCAACATCACCTCCGCTTCCACACCACCGATGATCCCCCTGGTGGTGGCCGCTTTATTCCTGACCACGGCCACCACCACGACGCCGGGCTTCATTGACGTGCGGGGCGTCCGTTGCCCTCCCCAGGCGCCCCTCGGCCGTTTCCCGAACGGCAGTCTCGTGCGAAGTGACCTAGCCGTCCGCATGCGAAGCACCTTCGCGGTCCGGTGCCGACACCCTGTCGAAATGGACAGTCACGGAGTAGATGTCCCGTCTGGCCACAGCCGAAGCAGCGCCTGCGGCGGGTAGGCTGGGCGCTTCCGCCAGTCCATTCTCGGTTCTTTGTCGGGATAGTGAGAGTGGCAATTTGTTCCGTTAGAGCAGCCACTTGGTCCTGCAGTCCTTTGAGCTCGCTGCTGGTCGTGTGCGAAACGGCGGCTGTCTGGTTCGCCTCGTCAAGTGCCAGGAGTAGACGGGCTCGCTCCACGGTGATCGCGAGGGTTTTCGTTTCTCCTGTGGCTCGCAACTGACGGCTTACAGCGGTGGGGATTCCTCCAAGAAATTGGTGCAACAGCAGCCGATCGCGTGCGGCGTCGTCGAGGTCTGGCATGGCTAGGTCCAACAACTTCTTGAGCTCGTGCACAAAGACGGATAGAGCTTCCCCGGGGCGCAGCTTGCGACTGTGGAAGGCGTCGAGGGAGATGAACCCCATAGCCTCGAGAATCCTGGAGCGGGCTGTCCCATAATCACTTCGCTCACGTTCTCCTAACTCCAGCCAAATAGCGAGGGCTTCTCCCTTGAGTAGAGTCGGCAGTTTGAGAGCCTTCGTAGCATTGTTCCAGTTGTTCGCCGTACTGCAGATGTCGAACCGTTTGAACCACTCGGCTGCGTCCCCGCTGACGAAGGGCTTCGGCAAGGAGACGTGGCGGTCAACCATCCTCTGCAACCAGTGTAGTACGGATCAGAAAGTATATCTTTCGCAGTTATACACTGAGCTTAAATAGGATGATGGGTGAGAGCTAGTGGTTATACAACAGAACCATGACATGACCAACTGACATGGATTTTGATAACCATGGGTGTGAATGTTTATGCTCTGCTACACTCGCCCCTCCTTTTTTAGAAGTCCAGGTATCCATATCGATCTGGCGGCACTCTGTGGCGTAAGGGGTACCTTCGTAGTGCAGGTGGTAGAACCAGGTGATCTACTGTAGGGGGCTGCCAGGTTGGAGACGGGGTCTGTTCTGTTACTGGAGATTCCACATCTGGCTGTAGGCGGTGATGGAGCCGATTTATGTGAACATATCTATTTTTCTGGCCCATCGTGACTTCCACTGTCAGTGGACTCATCACTTGTTTCACCTTCCATCCTCCTTCCCAGTGTGGATCTAGCTTCCTGGCTGTTGGTCGAGACAACCAGACAGTGTCTCCCTCACGAAAAATCCGGGTAATGGTGTTTTCATCATAGTTGGATTTTTGGTGTTCTGCCGCAATTGTTAGGTGGCACTCAACTAGGTCTCGTAACTCTGAGAGTTTGCACTGCAAGCTGTCTGCGTAGGTCACTGTGTTGAACGCAGTGGAGGGAGGGAAGTTCGGTGCAGATGGAGAGCGTCCAAACATCAAATTGAATGGGGAACAGCCAGTTGAACTGTGAGTTGCCGTTCGGTATGCGAACAAGACTAGCGGTAGAAAACGTTCCCAATCACTTTGGTGTTCAACGTAGCTTTGTAGCAGCTGTAGAAGCGATCTGTTGAACCGTTCTACCATCCCATCTCCTTGGGGGTGGTAAGCAGTTGTTCGAGATTTTAGGATGCCCAGCTCTTTCAGTGTGCTCCGTAGAATTGTACTCTCAAAGTTTCGTCCTTGATCAGAGTGGAGGATATCTGGGCATCCATATGTAGTAAAAAGCTTAACAAGCTCCCCTGTGATGCGAGCTGCGGTCTGGTCTGGCAGTGGTATGGCTTCGACCCACTTTGTGAAGTAGTCTAGCACAACTAAGAGGTAACGATTATTGTTGGTTGAGACAGGTACCTCCAGAATGTCTGCTGCTATCATCTGCCAGGGTCTTCCGATTGGGGTGTTTGTTAGTGGAGCTTTCGGGGGAGATGCAAGTTTTGAGGCTTGGCATGTCTGACAGTTTCGAAAAAATTTCCGTACATCCGTTGCGATACCGACCCAGTACGCTTCTCTTCGGAGTCGTTCCAGGGTCTTTTCAATTCCCTGGTGCCCTGGGCCTATATCAGTGCCCGGGGGAACTGATATAGGCCCATTCCGGGACCTGGGCAAAATGCTGTTTTCTCTTGGTCAGACTTATTCACTGGTAACTGCCAGTAGCCACTTTGAAGGTCAAGTGTGGAAAATATAGTTGAACCCGCAAGACGATCTTGGACTTCATCTGGTAGAGGCAAGGGGTAAGCATCTTTCACGATAGTCAATACACATCCGAATTTCGCCTGATTTCTTTGGCACAAATACAGCAGGTGCCATCCAGGGGCTGCTGCTCTCTTCTATGATACCTTGTTCCAGCATTGTGTTGATTTGTTCTTCAATTTCCTGCCGATAATGTGCTGGGATGCGACGCGGGGGCACCCTAACAGGGGTCCCTGTCGTTGTAATGTAGTGGCAGGCGACTTCCGTTCCTCCTGGTACTGTCCTGAACAAGGACCGGTGGGTATGTATGACATCCATAAGGTCGTTGCATGCACACACGGGGTAATCAAATGACGAGCAGGCATGAAAGTCTGGAACTGCACAGTCTCCAATTACATCAGCACTGGGAGGTTCCACAGCTGCAATTGTACATATCTTAATTCGCTCATTTCTTTCTTCTGTGTAGATTGAAAAAATGCATTCTGGTACAGTTGTACAATGGGGAACGACTTGTACAGAGTCACTTGTATGGACTGTAACAGGTAGGCTGGAAAAGTCTAAAACAAGTCCGTTATTGTGCAAAAAGTCAACCCCCAGAATGACTGGACTCACAAGGTTTTCAACCACCACGAACTTGCGGATGAGCTCCAGGTCTCCGATCTTCACCGGTGCTCGGACACGATCCAGTATTCTTAAAGGATCTCCCGACGCCGTAACTAACTGTATTGGTTCAGCGCTGGCGACTGACGGCATCTTGGGTGCTTGCAAAAGCACTTCTTGCCGAACTAACGACACAGACGATCCGGAGTCCAACATCACCTCCGCTTCCACACCACCGATGATCCCCCTGGTGGTGGCCGCTTTATTCCTGACCACGGCCACCACCACGACGCCGGGCTTCATTGACGTGCGGGGCGTCCGTTGCCCTCCCCAGGCGCCCCTCGGCCGTTTCCCGAACGGCAGTCTCGTGCGAAGTGACCTAGCCGTCCGCATGCGAAGCACCTTCGCGGTCCGGTGCCGACACCCTGTCGAAATGGACAGTCACGGAGTAGATGTCCCGTCTGGCCACAGCCGAAGCAGCGCCTGCGGCGGGTAGGCTGGGCGCTTCCGCCAGTCCATTCTCGGTTCTTTGTCGGGATAGTGAGAGTGGCAATTTGTTCCGTTAGAGCAGCCACTTGGTCCTGCAGTCCTTTGAGCTCGCTGCTGGTCGTGTGCGAAACGGCGGCTGTCTGGTTCGCCTCGTCAAGTGCCAGGAGTAGACGGGCTCGCTCCACGGTGATCGCGAGGGTTTTCGTTTCTCCTGTGGCTCGCAACTGACGGCTTACAGCGGTGGGGATTCCTCCAAGAAATTGGTGCAACAGCAGCCGATCGCGTGCGGCGTCGTCGAGGTCTGGCATGGCTAGGTCCAACAACTTCTTGAGCTCGTGCACAAAGACGGATAGAGCTTCCCCGGGGCGCAGCTTGCGACTGTGGAAGGCGTCGAGGGAGATGAACCCCATAGCCTCGAGAATCCTGGAGCGGGCTGTCCCATAATCACTTCGCTCACGTTCTCCTAACTCCAGCCAAATAGCGAGGGCTTCTCCCTTGAGTAGAGTCGGCAGTTTGAGAGCCTTCGTAGCATTGTTCCAGTTGTTCGCCGTACTGCAGATGTCGAACCGTTTGAACCACTCGGCTGCGTCCCCGCTGACGAAGGGCTTCGGCAAGGAGACGTGGCGGTCAACCATCCTCTGCAACCAGTGTAGTACGGATCAGAAAGTATATCTTTCGCAGTTATACACTGAGCTTAAATAGGATGATGGGTGAGAGCTATTGGTTATACAACAGAACCATGACATGACCAATTGACATGGATTTTGATAACCATGGGTGTGAATGTTTATGCTCTGCTACACTCGCCCCTCCTTTTTTAGAAGTCCAGGTATCCATATCGATCTGGCGGCACTCTGTGGCGTAAGGGGTACCTTCGTAGTGCAGGTGGTAGAACCAGGTGATCTACTGTAGGGGGCTGCCAGGTTGGAGACGGGGTCTGTTCTGTTACTGGAGATTCCACATCTGGCTGTAGGCGGTGATGGAGCCGATTTATGTGAACATATCTATTTTTCTGGCCCATCGTGACTTCCACTGTCAGTGGACTCATCACTTGTTTCACCTTCCATCCTCCTTCCCAGTGTGGATCTAGCTTCCTGGCTGTTGGTCG